TGTAAGATATAAATTAAATAACTTTATACATCCTATCTTCCCATCTTCTCACCTACAACAATGGTTTTCTTCAGTAACACGGGTCCCCAGAATTAGCTCTCGTTTTTGTTTAGTTGATTAAAAAAAAAAAAAAAACGATTTTTCAACAGTTTGATATACGATTTAATTTCATATTTTTATTTTTTAGTCAAACAATTATATTTTTTTGCATATTGTTTATTTTCATAGGTTAATTTCCATCAATTTGAAAGCTTTTTCTACTTGACATTATATACTTATAGGTACAATTTTCAGTTTTGGGAACTAGAATTCTAAAAATGTCCACAATTTTTTCCTATGATTTTCTCTTCAAAGATTATACATTTTTAGTTTTGATTAGTTCATTTTATTGGATAATTTTTTCTTCATACTAGTAATTATTCGGTTCTCTTCTCTTAATTTCTTCATTTTATTTAATAGCTTTTTATACAGTATATTATTGAAATCATCGAATTAGCCGTTATTGATTGAAATAACTGATTCTTTTTGATTTTGTAATGTAACATTTTTCTTATTTATTGAAATAGTTGTTTCAGATTTAGATTTAAAATCTGAACTAATTTAGATGAGGTGTTTTTGTAATTTTATTTAAAATTAATTCACTATAGCCCAGGACAGTAAAATGTAATTTATGTATGTGAAATGTATTTTTTTACATATATAACAGGCGTCATCTTTTATAATGCTATCTATATAATGCATTATATTTCATGATGAATATTAGTATAGTAATATAATATATTATCATTTATATAATACCTGGAAAATGTTATTAAATTCAAAATAATCACGTGAGATTAGGTAAAAGGCAACAGATTAGCAGATTACAATAATAAACTGGGGAAAAACACAGATAAAGTGACATATGTACATAACTAACAATATTTAACGACCGAAAGAAGCTGTTCGAAGATTCGAAGATTTATATTAATTTTAAGTGTATCTCTAATAGTGTAATATGATTAAAATGATTGCATTCAGTTTGAAACATACCTTATGATGATAACTGTCGTACAAACACATTGGTACAATAATGCTATTAGACAGCAGTAATGGAATAAATGTAGACAAACTGATTTCAAACTTAAAATTAGGGTAAATATCTACGTTTTTTTTTTATTTCCCATATAACAAATCTACAAGGCTGGTCAAGTTATCTAATTTAACGAGTTTTTTTTTTAACTGGTCAAGTTGAGTTAATATAGAAAAATGTAAGTTAATTTAAAGTTAACATTAATTTTCTGTTTTACTTAACTTATAAAAGTTACATGTAGCATAGATAAATAAAGGTAATTTGATTAAAAATAAGTTAATTTTTGTTATATAAAGTTACAATTTCACTTTTTAATATAATATAGATGTTACAATTTTTAAAAACTGTATGAAGTAAAATTAATTGAAGACTCGGTACAGTTGACATGTGATTTATAGCTGTGTTTTTGGATAGTTTGATAATTAAATGTGTATAGGATATTGGGCAAATTATATTTATTTCTTTTCTCAATAATCCCTATGGTCAGAACTTTTCTTATCTTTACGACTAAACGTTTATATTCTGTAAATAAACATAAATATCTAATAATATAATAAATCATTATTATGAGGTATCTGAAGTATGAGTTATAATAATTTAATTTTCATATATTTTGTAGGTATAAAATTAAATTTATGTACGTTATTATTATACCTAGGTACATCCAGAAATAAAGCGAAATTCATTATTAACAGTAAACAATTTTAAATATAGAACTATTTACAAATTTATTACGTAATAAATAATAATTTAACATTATAATGAAATATTATTAAAACTATTATTATTATTTATCAACATAATTTGAAAATTAAAACGTAGTTTTAAATATATGGGATTAAATTTAGGACAGGACAAGACATCTAATGACAATAAGCGATGACGTAATAAGTGAGGTTGAGACCTTCAAGTACTTCGAATTTTTTGTTCAAAACAACAGTGACTTTAACGTGGATATGAAACATAGGGTTAAGTGTGATTGGATTAAGTGAAGAGAAGTGTTTTATGTAACAAGGGAGTTAAAATAAAATAAAATAATATATTTTGAAGTAATAATCCACAAATATTTTTATAATAGATTAATTGATTGAACTTATAGATTTATTGCAAATTTCATTATCAATAATTGTTTTCTTATTAATATTCTCGATTTAATATGTAGGTAAAGTATTATTTTGAATTTAGTTAATCAAAATTTTTCTATTTAGGGTGATAAAAATCATGGTATATTTGTTTGTTAATCACATCTTACTCATATAAGTGGAACAAGAGCACGTTTTAATATGTGATACGTTTGCTAGTACAGAATCTTTGACTCCAAAATCTTCGGTTAAGTTTCACATTTGCAGGTAAAATGAACATTTTTATGCCAAATTAAAAATCGAAGATATTGATGCTAATTGACTTGAATCTTCACATGACTCAATAATTTTTAGTAACTCAGTTATGTGAAAAAGATTTGAAAGGAATGAAATTAATAATAGAATTTTAATAGCAGGCAGTGGTTATGTTCAACATAAATATGTATAACTATAGTTTGAAACCTTAACACCTAAGTAGATCCAGCATCAAGCATTACTGCAGCAGTTATAGTGAGGTATAACGAGTTATTGGTCAGGACAAGAAATACTGTAGAACGAAGTTATAGAGTAGTTTCCTATTTTAGCGCTTGGGATTGAATTAATTAAGTATATCGGTAAATGTTATTATTATATTTAACCAATGGTTTATCATAATAATTTTACAGTTTTAATAAAAATCAGCACCTCTAATTAATTCTTTCACTTACTAGTTTGTTGATTACTGTTATTGAACAATGATTCTGGTATTATTGTTATGATATTATTATCAATTAAAGTGCCGTTGTCAGAGCTTTCTTTATATATAAGTTCTGTTTCAGATCATTAAAACTTGTATTGCAATATTTAGAGTCATATGTTGGAGGTTATCCTGTCATCTTTGACTGTAATATTTCTCCAACTGTTGTACCTACAGTACTTCCAGTAAATGATTTTGTTGGTCCTCCTCCAGTAATTAGAATAAACATTTTTTTATTAAACATTGTTTCTTTACAATTCGTTTTATATTATCATATTTATTTTTCAGTATTGTAACAGTACGTGTATAGGATTGATTGTAAAATTCATTTAATACAAATTAATTTTATTCCGTGCATCTTTTTTCATTTTAATTAAGATTCAGTATTATATTATATTAGTATTACATAAAAAAAAAAAATCCCTTACAAGTTGTTTAGTACAACCAGTAGCGTAGTCAGGATTTTTCAATGGGGGAGGGGGTTTAAGGTCTATACAATAGGTTGGTAAACATAAAACATATTTTTAATTTTGTTATAATTTACTTAAAATATTTAAAATGTTAATCATTTTAATTTGAATTACATTATGTTAACTATAGTTTTCTTGTTTTGGTCATTACTTTATTTATTTAATTTAAAACTACTTTCACACGTAGTGTATATGTTTTTAATATTTTTCTTGTTGAAAAAGATTGTTCACTGATAGCAGTTGTAACTGCTGTAAGGGTTGCTAAAATATATAGGAGTTTGAAAGTAGAAAGGAAAATTGATATATTACATTTCCGACAAAAACTTTTTTTTGATAAATCTTGAGTTACTCTAAATTACTACACTTCGCCAACTATCTCTATCTTGAACTGTCTCTCTCCGATTCTCAACTCCAAAGGTTTTTAGATCTTCTTTCACCACATCAATCCATTTTTTCCTAGGTCTTTTTCCCTTCCGGCTTCTACACCAATTCTGCTCTAACTGTTTCGTTCTCATCTTTTCTCATTATATGCCCCAACTTTTGCAGCCTTCAGTCCTTAATAAAGCTTGTTACTGGTGCTAAACTCAACATATTGTATAGCTTTCTGTTATCCCTCCTCCGTAGGCTTTCCGTTGTTTCATCGACGATGGACCCACATATTTTTCTCCATACTGTGTTCTCTAGAGTCCTCATGTTTTTTCTGTTTTTTTGGTTGTTGTCCAAGCTTCGCAGCCATACACGAGAGTCGGTCATATAATAGCCACATACGGTCTTACTTTTGTTCTCCTAGACAACATTTTGGGTGTTAGGAACTTTTTCAGTGCATAGAAAGCTTTTTGGGCTTTGTTTATCCGAATACTTATTTCCTTGCACCAGTCATTCTTTGTGCTTAATGTTGCACCCAGATATTCAAAAATGCTAACTTTTTCATAGGTTAGGTCCTCCATCTCGTTGGGATCCTCCCTACTCTCAATAAGTTCCATTATCTTTGTCTCTTCAGTATTTATTTCAAGACCTATTCTCTTCGCTGCTTCTTCTAGCACTCTTGTTCTGACCAATTAGTAGACCACCTTCATTTTCTTGTAGTTTCCTTACTACCTTCTCTAGTGCAAGATTGAAAAGTATTGGGAACGGGGCGGGACGCTGCTTCACTTCGGTTCCCACTGTGAACATTGTTCCCACATGTTACATTTTATGTTTTAACTCTGTATTTTTTTTGTTTTCCATACACATTTTAGCTAGTGTTCTTAATTTTTTTGGGAAATTCAGTTCGAATATGATACTGTAGAGACTCAGATACTGTAGAGACTGTAGAGAATTGTATGGAGCTAATTTTGAGGTTATATGTATGTATCCATGTATATAAGTATACAGAATGATTCACTAAGCGTGCTCACTCCATTTTTTAGTTAGATTTAGCATAAAATAAAATTCTGATTCTTTAAAATTTTTAAATGTAGTTAAAACCTTATTTTTGAATACTTAGATTTTTCACAACATTTAAGGAGTATCCTGTGGTGATACCAACTTTGGTTTTTCAAATGAATACCTACATTATGAAAATTCTACATTTAACCTTGAAGAAAGAACAGTGCAATGCACTGTTGATGCAACTTCATTAAGTTTACAACTGCTAACTGTTAAGTCGTCATGCCAATCTGGAACGGTTGTTGAGAATTGTGTCTTACATTACTCGCTTTTGCAGGAACTGTAGATCCAGGGCCAGCCGGACCATTGGAAGCTGTACTGTGAGTGAAAGGCGTCAATAGCCATAATTGCTGCATTATTAATTTAGCAATAATTACTATGGGTGCCAACCAACCACAGGGGTTAAAATTCCTTGCAATTTTGGATAATAATTTCCTTTTTGTTAGATAAGAAATAACTTTCATTGTTTCTACCTTAAATGTAAACGTGTCATTCGCTGTATTCCAATTAATGCCCAATTAAAAATATTTTTACTATGGAATCTATATATTATAGATATAGCGGCGTACATGATGATATGGCAGATAAATCTGAGGTTGTTGCTCATGTAGTTGAACTAATTTCATGTGGTTAAAATGTTCATATTCATGCTTAAAGTCCTTATACATTGTCCACAAGGTTGGTTGCCTTCTCAGAGCTTGTTTAACCCTTTTAAATCTTCTTACGACTTGATAGAAGTCGTTCACAGCAAACGGTGATTCTTTGAACAGTAAATGTACCTCATAACGACCACTTTTCTCTCTATAATGTGTTTTTATGAAATGACCTTTACAAATTAAATCTTTTGTCATGTTTGTAGCTTGAGGCACTTCTTCAATATTCAACAATTTTTGAACGGCTGTGTCTAAATTGAATAGAATGTGCATATTTTACATACCTTGCTACTTAAACACTGATTTGCAATGAATACTTGCGTAAGTGTTGGACACCGATATATTGAATGGTAGTTTTGAGAATACATAGGACACGATTTCATTTCCTCTTCTGTTATACAATTATTTTGCATTGGTTACGCCAGGTGGGACGGTAAATGGTAAAAATATCCGGATCTATAATATCCGAAGAAAAGTGGGAAATTTATCAGAGGAAAAATTACCAAGGAATAAAAATCAAGTATTAATGTATAATAATAATAATTTGATATGTATATGAACAACAACATGATTATTTATTAATTAATTATTATACATTTAAACTTTGATATTTTTTCTCTGATATATTTTCCCTCGAATATCATAGATACGGTTATTTTTACCTAGATTCGAGCGGGATAGCTAGTTGTAACTATACATATTTCTTTAAATATCACAAGTTCTCAAGAAACAAATTAAGCCTCTGCATCTATTACTAAACAATTTTAAAATATTGAATTGAAGCGTAGTATATACGTACTAGAATATATATATTTATTATTTAAAAAAAAATTCAAATTGTTCACTAATTATAAAAAAATGTATACCCAGTAACGAAAAATTCAAATGTGTAAATAACATTTTTCAATGAATAAAGTCCAAAGTTTTCGACAATTGTAAAATTAGTATACAAAGGTAATAAAAAAAAGTAATATTAAAAAAAAAAAAATTGACATAATATCTTCACGGTTTTAATTTGAACATAAAACATCAAAAATGTTATTGAGGTAAGAGCTGAATGATAATGTATTTGTTTTATATTTTGTTGTAATTAGTTTGTTGGTGAATTCCTGAAAACATACAATAAATAATGGATTACCTGCATTGTACGGTTATAGGCAGGTATCTAAATATAGTTTCACTAACATAAGACACTTATTACATTTTATCAGTTTTCTGTTTTAGGTAAACTACTTTTAAAAAGTCATTAAATTACGTTACATATTACAACGAAAAATAGTTATTAAATTACTTCCACGTTGCTCTAATTTATCACGTTATGTTATAAATTAATTTAAAAAATAGGACGTTACAAATGACGTTACTTTTAGATTCTGAGTAGAGCGGGAAATGTACTTTTTGAATAATCAGCGGACGTTGAAAATCGCGCGATTAGTGTGATGTCGTGTCATGTGTTGAAAATGTTTATCATATAGACAAGATCGGAATAAATAAAAATGTACATAATAGTTAAATCTTAGTTTGTAAATACTCGTATTATTTGAATACAACACAAGCTTTAAAACGAATATTATGCGTGTTTTCGATAGGACTATTGAATTGGTCGCGTCCAATTATCGCTAATAATAGGCTGATCAAAAGACGCTTACCGCTTTTGTTTAAAATATCAAAGTGCAATTAAAATCTATTAAATTTCGCGGAAAGATGCACTACGAATTGACAGACTAATATTAATCATATTATTAAATATTAATAGGCTTCTGAACCAGGACAATAATATTAATTAGAACTAATATAACTAGTCGGGAATTTCCGATAATAAATGCCAACAGGTGAAATATAGCCAGTACAGTACTAAATTGTATAAAATTGAAAAACAATATAAATAGTCGGATATGAACACAATGATGATTTTGAATCTGATTAAATTAAATTAAATTCATTGATTTCCCTCCGGTTCTATACCACTCAGAACGTTGGAACATAATTATTGTTTAAAATTAACGTACGACGTTATAGAAATTACATTTAAAGAGTAATGCCGTTACAATATAACGTCATACGAAGAAAATGTAACGAAATTTCTACTGCGTTACGTTATTCCCCGATGTATTGGTTTACACTTTATTTGAACTATTCAATAAATTGTAATAATTAAAAAATAGAATATATATTTAATAATGTTGTACATTATTGTCTTAGAATAACCTTAAACTCTGTCGTAACTAATAGTTAACCATTATGACATGTTATTATAATATATCATTGCTATAACTGTAACCGTTATATAATAATAATAATAATATGTCGTACGCCCAACGCTGCATTTTTAATACATATTGTCAAGTGCCCATCTACATTGTAAATCATTGTTATTATTAAACATGTGGATTATGGTAAAAATGTAAAAAAAACCCGTCGCAAGTCTCGCAAGTCGCTTATTTCACAGCATCAAGTATATGGTAATACGAGTGTATTAGCAAATAACCAAAAGAATCAATGTCGTATGAAAATCGCACGAGTTTCTCGTATTGTAACATGATACGGTGAACGATCAGAGTATCGTAGGTATTTATTCTATTACTATATTATTATTTTCTACTGACAAATCTGTAAATAGTTATTAATAACTGCCCGAAGAAATTCTATAAAAAAAAACCATATAAATAAACAGTACATTTTTATTTTTTTTAACCATACCTAGATCAGACGTGTATATAACGGGTGGAAGAGAACCATAGGGTAATAAAGTGTGGACAATATTTTAATTTGCGTATCACGTGGCAGCAAATGTAATAATTTTAGAGTCTGTGTCATTTTCCAAATTATTTAAAATATGCCAAAAGGCAGGAAGCCAATAGTCTTGTTTATTTCTAAATAAAACGCGTACACGCACGCGCGCGCGCACACACACACACACACACACACAATAATATTATGTAGTTTAACTTATAAGCATAATTATTTAAAATAAAAAATAATCTGTAAAAAATTGTTTCCGTAGTGATGCCATGTCCAATAAGATCGCCATAAAGTTGGCCCGCGATCATCAGTTCATTTTCTCAATAGTTTTTTTCTTCGAAGACCTTACACTGGCCACATAAATGTTCCGAAATACTCACATACATTTTCTGCAAAACGTTAAAACAACTTAATTTGTTTAAATTACAAAACTATGGTTTCAATGTAACATATAACTTTTTGAAGACGAAAATAATAATTTAAATCGCAAAGCAGTACAACGATAATATTATTACCTTTCTCAAATTCAGTTTAAAAAATTTAAACTCGACCTAATCGAGGGATTTTTCAATTGTTACAGTTTGTTTGATGAAAAATCATACTCGTGACAAAAGCTTGGTTTAGCTCGCGTGTTCTATAGGAATTGTAGGATCATAATTCACTGCATTCGATGGAGGGATAGCAGTAGCATCAAATTTCCGTTAACTAAAAATATGTAAAAAAAGAGCTGATATTGGGGATGGGTGTCGAGGTGTGCCACTGTTGTAGGCAGGAGGTAGGATATAGAGGAGAAATTAATTTATTTGTGTACACTATGATGAACTATTGCTAACGAAAAATGATTCAGAGCAAAGTTCGGTTGCACCATATCTATTTTGAAAGACGATTTTCGTCAAAATTTTGTATTAAAACTATTATAAAAAAAAATATATATATATATATTACATTGCACTCATTTTTTTTTTATTTTGGCTAGTTGATACGACTTATAATGAATCCTTTGTTAAATTTTCATTTATTTAGTCAAACAATTTTATCCCCAGAATATCTACAGTTTTATCTAAAGTTGCTTACAGACATAAAAAATTTTAAAAAAAACATATGGTAAAACACATCACAGTTTTTTTTTTATGAATTATAGGTAGAAAGTATTTTCTTCATAAAAAGTCTGTGTAACCAATGTTTTAATCTTATCTCCGAAAAATGTTAATGCAAAAATAATATAAAATGTCAAATCAAAAATTTTAAGTTTAAAAACGTGCTGTAGGATAATTATTGTTTGAAACAAACAAGGTTTCCTTGTAAAAAATTCGCCGGCCGCAAAATAAACTATAATAAATTGTATTTGTGGTTTATATTTTTATCCATATCATTTTTCTGACAATTATATTGTGCCGTGCAAAATAATTGATTATTAAAATTAAATTGTGTTTTTTTCTTTATTTGTATACAATTATAGACAGTGTTGAATCCAGCTAAAATTCAGGGAGGGAGGTCAGCAAATTCCCCTCTCTGGAATTTCAATCACCCTCCTCTGACAAATAAAACTGTCAATAAAATGTATTCATTAAATATACAATAGATACCCATCACATTTGGCATGACTTTTTTTTTGTTATCTGTGAACCATTACTTTTCCACCAGCAATTTCGCTGGTAGAAAATTACAATTATAGCACTTTTTCCAAATGGAAATCTGACTAGGGAGGTACTTTAGAGAAGTTAATTTTTTCAATTTTCTCAGAAGTTTTCTCAATATATTAGAAACACCGGGAAAAACGGAGGTATAACGGGAAAATAGGTACAATATTAAACAAATATTATTAAAGAAAATGTTTAATGCACATGTAATTACTAATTATTTTACCATAATATGACATATTATGATATGTATTTTAGACAAAGCATCACTATTAACCGAAATCGACTCAGAATCGTTTATTCGTTATCAATTCGTTATTCGTTGCGTACAAGATATACATTAAATTTCCGTACATATCCTGTCTTCCCAACTTCCCACCTATTATACTGGCTGCACCTGTACCCATTATCCTAGGACAGATTTTTATAAAATAAACGCATCGGCCCACGACAGTAGAACTTGCCTCTGTTTGTGCCGACGACCACGTAACATAATAATTCGCCGAGTAGACGTATCTATATCGTATTGATGGCGACGATCGCGTAAAACATTATTGCAATATGTTAAAATATTTCCGGAATATTGTATTATTGGCGTTTAGATATACTCGTATCACAGTCCACGCTTGCTTAATAGAAAAATATACCCTCATATTTTAAAATAACCGGTCATTCGCATTGTGTTTTAATTATGACTTTTGATTTATACATTCGAAAATGTTGTTGAAAAACGATTTCTGATTTATCATTTTCATATTATGCCACATAGAATTTTTTTTTTTTTTTCGTTGTACAAAGCATTTTACACTTCGGTCGGTGTCTTGGCTTATCTGCTTTATTGATGTTTTTTTGTTTTTCCAACTGACGTTTATATATTATTATCTATTGTAA